CTTTGGACTTCTCTACATACTTCTTCTCTATGAGCTCTAGGATGTTAAGATCAATGCAACGAAGGTAAATTCTCATCCTAGCCTTCCAATAAGCAAAATTACTACCGGTGAAAAGAGGTGGTCTAGTGGTGGATTGTCCTTCTAGCATATGCACATTCAATAAAGCCTCCATAGGATCTTTTCTCTAAGGTGATTAAACCAAAAACTAATATAGAGACCAAGCTCTGATACCAATTGTTGGACCCTAGAGGGGAGGTGATTAGGGTCAAGAGGCTATAATTATGCAATAAAAATAAGACAAGCAAACCACATTATTCCAAAGCAATCAAAATAGAGGAGATAGAGTTAGGAATCATTATCCTGTGACACACGATATGTTAACGAGGTTCGGTCCGCTGACCTACGTCCCCGCTCCCCACTCTCGAGGAGAAATCCACTACACAGCCCGGTTTGGAAACCGGAACTTCGTCTACACAACGATCCCCTCACGATCTCACACTACACAGTTAATCTCACAAGATCACTCCCACACAATTGATCTATACAAGATCACACTCACAAGATAATAGAAATGGTGTAAGACTCACTCTTTACAATGTCCCTATGGTAAAGAGGAAGAGCACACTGAAGCTGGGAAGTGAACACACAAAAAACACAGAAAGAACAGTTTGAAAATTTTGATCAGTGAAAACAAACGTCTCTGGTTTTTGCAAAAGCTGGGACACTGAGGAAGAAGAAGAGGTGGAGTTTAAATAGGAGAAAAACAGTTGTTTAAACCCATCCCTTAATCCCCCAAAATCTGGAAGCAAAGCGTCGCTGAGATCTGTACTGAGCGGCGCTGGAAAAGGACCAAAATTACCGTTTGAATAATACGATGGTCGACCGGCGAAATTTTCGGTCAACCGCTATCCAGATCGAAAACGAAAAAAAAAACAAACAGAGACTTCATCGGTCGACCGGTGCGGTCGACCGACAGAAAAATCGAGCTCTCGGTCGACCGCATCGGTCGACCGACAAACTCTCTGCTGCCCACTGACGAATGATTATATGAGCGGTCGACCGGTGCGGTCGACCGCATTCTGATACATTTCAGATAAACAATTTTTGACTCAACTAAAATATTTAGAAAATATTTATTTGACCTCTGAAAATTATGAAACTTTGTAAAATATTTTTAATACTAAAAACAAACTGTTTGGAAAAAGAATTTTGCAGATAGGTCCTCATACTTGTGAAAAATAGTATTTTGTGAAAAACGCTTAAAAACATAAGTATGAAAACGTGTGTGTGATATCCCAATAGCTTCAAGTGAAGTCAATAACTCTTTGCCTACATTCTAGCACTAGAGAGAAAAATAAAAGATAGCTAATATCCTCATATAGAATGCAATGCTTGAGTCTTGATATAGCTTGAATTGGATGAAGCTTCTATTTGAATTTGTTGTTCTTAAAATAACGTTGCTTCATCACTAAGCCTCCTCCTCCTTTGGATATCATCGTTGTAGCGCATATTTCATCCAATCCTCCATTTGTGGTACTAACAAGCTTGATATATGAATTCACTACATATGTACTTAATAAGCCATTAATACCAATAATGGTGGTTGTAAAACATCATCAAAATATAAGGGCTAACATTCTTTTCCACAAAATAGCACTTAAATACCCTATAGTGTAACCTTTTGGCAATTATATATCATAAGTTGTATTTCTTAACAACTGTATGAATTCAGATCCTCTCCAATTAAGTGGCAATTGGAGAGCCTCCAACTCCATCAATCATGGACACATACTCCAAATTCAATTGATGAGATTAGACCACATAAGATTCCGCTATTTTGATAGTGGTTTTCAAAGGATAGCAGTTTTTAGAAAATGCTATTTTTAAAAACCATAGTGGTTTTATGCTGTGATCTAATCTCGTCCATTGAATTTATAATCGTGCAACAATGATTAGAGGAATTGAACTCTCGGATTACCACCTAATTGTAGAAAATCCGAGCCCAAATATATACACCTAACCATCCATGAATATTACAAAGGGTGTTAAAAATAGGAAAAATTGCTTCTAGGCCCCAAAATCTAACTTTCAATGTGCTCCAGCCCCCCAACTTTCAACAATGTGCTGCAGCCCTTTTTTAAAAAAAAAAATTATGTCCAGGCCCCTCTCCTCAAGTTCCAATGCAACCTCTTCAAAAATCCCGATTTTACCCCTCCCCTACACCCTCTCCTCCTCCTCTGTTCCTCCTCTGCCCCCGCCCCCGCCCCCGCCCCCAGCTCCGCCTCCCTCCCCCGCTCCGCCGCCTATCTCTCCCTACACCTCCCTCCTCCTCCTCCAGTCCCCCTCTGCCCCCTCCCCCGCTCCGTCACCGGCACCATCCTGAGGAACTTCGCGTGGCCGGCGGCGACCATGGTTATTATATTAACAAGTTAACTCTTAACAGTTAACATGTTATCTATAAGAGTTAACATGTTAATAGTAAGAGTTAACATGTTAACACTAAGAGTTAACATGTTAATCCTAAGAGTTAACATGTTAATCCTAAGAGTTAACATGTTAACCGTAAGAGTTAACATGTCAGCCGTAAGAGTTAACATGTTAGCCGTAAGAGTTAACATCCGCTAGCATGAGAAAGAAGAGGGTAAAATTAGGATTTAAGCCACCTGACATGTCTAATCATGAGCTGGTATGTCTAATCATCTGTTGGCATGAGCTGGAATCATGATGGAGGAGCCTGGAAATAATTTTTTCAAAAACAAGGGGCTGCAGCACATTTAAAAAAATATGGGGGACTGGAGCACATTGAAAGTTGGATTTTGGAGCCTAGAAGCAATTTTCCCTTAAAAATAAAGTCAATATGTGTGGACAAAATTGCCCTCGCTAATATAAAACCCCTAAAACCGGTAAAAAAACCCCGAGCACACTTTTTGCCCTCATTCTTGCGGTACGCCATCACTGCGTGCGGTCATCGGATCTCTCGAGGCGGAGGTTGGTCGGATTTCTTCAGCAAGTAAGCGCGGACCTCCATCACCGCCCGAAGCTTCAATCAGAGGAGAACCCCATCAGCGCCATCATCATCCTAAGCTTCAATCGAGGCGGAGGTTGCATAAACTTATCAAATGACTTTATATCTAACAGATAGTCCGAATAGTGAAGCCAATGCCAAGATCAGGACGCACATTTCTTAATTAAAAGAATAAAAGAAGAAGATGACTTCATACCATCCTTAAATAGAGATAATCTCTGGTCAAAATCCTCCCTTTCGTCTCTCTTCAGGCCAAACTTCTCAACTTGCAATCGCCCAAGAACCATAATTTGACAACCTCATAAATTTGCAATGATAGGGTTTTCTTTTTTTACTGACATCAAAGTTCCATCTAATGAAAAAAAAGCCTCATATTCCCCTTAATTTTTCTCTAGTCAATTCATAAACAGATAAATCAGTTCACTTAACAATTCTACGCAAGAGCGGCTCTGAGCAAAGCCTCTGAAGACTATCCAACTCCAAAGTTTCCACTATTAAAATGCAATAATTTCTCAAAAAAAAAGTTACAATGAAACCCATCAAGCCAAAGTTTATATAGTGATGAGTATATTAGTTTTAAATGTTGGAATATGATACCTAAATGGATTTGGCTTCTTCAATGTGGATCATTCTTTAGGTTTTTATGGGTTTGTGAAAAGAATGATGGTAGGTAAAAGAGTAAATATAACATTCAACTGGGGTAAAAGCTATTTAAAATTGTCATGTGAGAGTCACATGGGAATGTTCAAGGGAATAGTCCCATGTGATGTTAACCGAAGGTACAAACTTGCCTTTTTACACATGTTCGGATATGTATCTACTAGGAATTACAATTTATGCTGTGTTTCGGAGCTCACTAACCTGTTTGGATGGAGGGTAGAGAGGGGGAGGGGAAGGGAAATGCAATTTTAACATTGTTTGGGAGTTGCATTTAGGAGGGTAGAGGAGGTGAATGAGGGAATTTTGTGTCAAAATGTTACACCCCAAATTGGGGGTAATGAAGGGGAAGGGAAGGAAGGGGAAGGGAAGGAAGGGGAATTTTTCCCCATCCTTCCCTTCCCTAAGGGCCTGTTTGGATTTGTAGGGGGTGAAGGGAAGTTAAGGGAAACTGAGAGAAGGGAAGGGAAGGGAAGGGAAGGGAGTTCCTTTCCCCTTGGTTACACCCCAATTTGGGGGTAACAAATTTTATACTATTAGGGGGTGAACCAAGGGGAACTAGGGTGAATTAACTTCACCTCCTAAGTGTTCCCAAACAAGGTGAATGGAGGTGAATGGTTCCCCTAACTTCCCTTCACCCTCATTCCCCTCAATCCAAACAAACCCTAAGTGAACTCCCAAACATACCATTAA